CTCCTGCCAATGGCAGGCTTGATCGGGGGTTCTCTAAGCGGCTAAATGCATCCTTATTGGCGCGCCGGGGACTGGGCCATTCTGCTATCCTCACAAAAGAGCACATACCAAGTTGCCTTGATACATTTTGTGTCTTGGCTGATGACTCTAGCTACAGGAACATCATCATCGTCGTCGTCATCATCATCATGCACATACAGCGCCGGATGTGCGGAATACTGTGTGAAGGCCAAGTGAAGCTCATGACACAATGAATCGGTCTCCTGCACGCTTGCAGCTGGTATTGTTGAGCAGGACGGGCTATCTGAGTTTGGTACTGTAATCGAGCCATCACGGCTGCGGTCGAACCTCAGCAGTTGGATGCATGAAGTTTCTGGAGGTTGAGTGAGCGCAGCCCAGTGTCTTGCTCAAATTCTCCACTAGGCCTGTAAGACCCTGGCTTGCACGGAATCCCAAGCAAAGGCATAGAGCTGCACTCCAGATGCTGCCTATGACACCCTGCTGCGGCTGTGCTGGTGTCCCATTTGCTTTTAAGAGCACGGCTGGGATATTTGCGACAGATAGGTCAAGCAGTTAGCTGTATCTTTTTGCTCGTGAAGACCCTGCCATGCACCAGCCCCCCCCCCCCCCGCTTTCAGCCATCCCTGTGTGCGATGAATCTGGACGCCGCCTGGGCCAATGAGCAAGGCACGAAAGAGCTGTTGATAGTGGCCAAAGCCCTTGTTCCTCTCGGTGCTTCGCTGGTACGTCCAGAGAACAGCCTGGACCCTCTCATTCAGGTAGCACAGATTATCTGAGTTATGGAACGTGACAGACATAGGCTCAGCCGGCACGCGAAACCAGATCCATCTGCGATGACCCTTGGGCTTTTTCCCTTGCGCAGCCATCCGAGATCTCCCCTACCTTTGTGACCCTTTGTGGTTGGCTTCGCCTCTGAAGACCCTATCACATTGGCGTGTCGCCCGGGGCGTGTTTCGACCTCCCCTGGAGTTTATCATTTCGGCGCACGTCCTGATGGAAGAAATCGCCTCAAAGCTGCCTAGACTGAAGATCATCTGTTTTGGACCCGAAACTTGAGTACCATCAGTCCTTGCCGTCCGATCTACTTTCTGAAGGACTGAAGGAGCGCTTGCAGGTTTTTGGGGAATGGCCGATGACTTCGCTCGGGCCGAAATCCGGCAACCGATGAGGCGCGTGGCTGCGCAGTCCGTCAGCGTCAGCATTGCCTCCCTCGCCTTGTCGCGGTGGGTCGTGTCCTGTGATATGGTCAGTGTGAAGTGAAGGCGACCGTGTTGCTCGTCGCTCCGCACTCTTGTGCATAAACACAACGAAACTTCTGCCCGCCTCCCTCGGCTGTATGGTCATATGAGATAGCATGCCGGGCTACGCATTTTGGCCAGGACTGCTCCTGTTGCCTTTTGTCCCCTGCTCCTGTTGCCTTTTGTCCCCAGCTCCTTTGCCGCCCAGTCTGCGTTGGAAGTTTGCAAGCATCTCTCCCCAAGGTCTGTGCTTATCTGTGAGTCCTGGCTCTGCTGTCTGGGACATAGTTTCGGCGTTGGTCATGGTCAGACAGGAATGCCAACTGCAAGAGCGGCAACCACTTGCCAATGTGAAGCTTTGCTGTTTTATGAAACGGCACCCGGCAAAAACGGAAAGGGACGGCTAATTAAGTGGCATGTCATGTAGTTTGTCACTGAAGGTCTGGCCACGCGGCTTTCACGTCTTATTCTGCTGTTGTTGCAGGTGCCTCCATCACGCTAACCTTGCGCTGGTTTGTGAGCTGTTGATTGCAAAGACCACAAAATCGTTCAAGGTGCTGCAGAATACTCGTCTCTTCCCTGTGACGGCGGGCCCGTCGGCTTGTCCAGGCGTTTGCTGTGGCAACCGTTTCTGTCGATGCCTCGAGCCGCACGAGCTCCTTTCCGTTCTGCCAGTAATGCAGCATTCCGTGAACATACCGTGTACTCGGTCAGGGGTCCAAGATGTCAGAAACTAGGTTTGTATTATACGTAATTTGACTTCTTTTGACCGCTGCCCCAGTGCGCAGATAGTTTGGAAGCATGTGGTCATGAGGTCATGAGCTTCGAATTCGCTTTTAGGATTCACTGCATATGCATCCGACAATGAGTAGAACGTAGTAATGCTTTTTGCCGAGGCAATCGGGTAATCGGCTGCCTGCGATCCCATGACCTCACTTCGCTCGCCCCCGCTCTGACGACGAGATGTGACTTCACGCAAGACTCTTCAGAATATCTCCTTGGAGAGGTGGTTGACAATCGACCAGACCTCGACAGACCCGGTGTTGCTCTAGCCCGCAGGCCGATGTCCCCTTCGAAAGGGCCCCTGTCCAAAGCCCTGCTTGCAGCAAAAGCCGAACACCGATCGGAGACTCTCGAAGAACTCCGACCTTTGACTTGCGCAGCGAAAACACCCAACGGAAGAAAAACAAAAAACACACATTACCGACGTGCATGCAGAACGACCAGAAGCTCTTCCATTGCCTCACTACGGCTTCGACGCAGACGGACGGAAGGTCGGTTCCCCGCAACCTCAACACCAACCAGCTTTCACCCGAGACGTTACAACGATGGAACGCCGACTCCGGCAGTACGAGGAGCAGTTCCTCGTACAATGGCCCGACGGCGCTTCTTCGACTGCACCGACCCCCTACTACGAGAACAACTACAAGGAGAACCGCCCCACTACGTTGCTGCGCTGGGTGAAGGAGACTCCGCACGCCGAGACGTGCTTTGGGCAATGCATGGCACCTCCCCACGGCGATCTGGGTCATATTCCTGCTGCTGCTTGGCGCAGTCGAAGAGTCGATCCCGAAAGAAGTCATGAGACAGCACTGTGCAAGATCATGAACAACAACCGAGCACCTTTCGGCCCGCCACCACGACGTAGCCACCACGACTACATGCCACAGAACTCATGGACTGAAGACCCTGAATGGGGGACAGTCTGCAAAGACGTTGATCTCCTCAACGTGCACCACAACCGCTCCCAAACCCTGCAGCCCGTCATTCAGGAACTTGCTTCAACCCACGGGCTTGCATGCGACGTCTGTGTACGCCAAGGTCGGGTACATGGCGTCCATCTGAGAAGCATGTTGCTTGCCCTTGATCGCTTGGTCAATATCCACAAAGCTGCGGTCTCCTGACATATGACATATACTGTCGCAACCGGAGTCGAGTGTAGCACAAGGCCATGAATCGAAGGAGATCGTTATAGATCGTTCTGTGTCACGCTGACCGTGTCTACGTTGTACTGATAGACCGCGAACTGGTACATTGGCGGATCGGCATGGAACTGATCCCATTTGTAGTCTCCTCGAAGGAAGGGAAGATCTGGCCTTGCTAAACTCGTCGCAGATGTCTCGTAGGCGGCCTCGAAAGTCATCGGTGCCACAATCGCGGGGAAACCCGGCCATAATCTGCTTGCGGGTGCCGGCAAGAGCCACGTCTTCCTCGGTTCTCCGCTCCATGAGATAGAGACAAATGTCCGGAGTGCTCCTTGTCGATGTGTTGGCCCAGGGGCGGCAACTGGGCGTTGCAGAAACCCTCGGCGTTGACCAGCAACATGCCGGCGGCCGGGGTCTGCAACGAACTGGCGTTGTTTCGGAGTGTATGCGGTCTGTAACCGTCAAGCATCTCGGACACGTGCAGTGCCCCTTGCTGGGAATCGATGCGGTATTCGAAGTTGATCTTCCGCATCCAATGATGGTTGTGAATGACCGATGCGCGCTCCTTCGATCTGCAAATGAAGCGCCGATCGAGGGACTGGGTGGCTTTGAACAAGCAGTCGGTGAGCGGTGCCTCGTTGCAAGCCATTCGCCATCGCCATCCCAACGGGGATCGGTGGCTTTGGAGCCTTCTCCCAATCGGCGCACGCTTGGACGACTTGCTGGCGCTGTGAGCCTATCAGTGAGCTGAAGGATCCGGAATCGCACCGTTCTGTGGACCGAGCTCTTCGAGGCACCTGGGTTCTGTGGACCCAGCTCTTCGAGGCACCTGAGTTCTCCTTCTCCGGATGGCAAGCACCTTTTGGCAGATCGGGCACCAACCGATTATACCGATTTGACTTGACTCGGATCCCTGCTGGCGAAAGCGTGCGCAGTGCCAAAAGAATTCGAAGAAGACCTTGGGGGACATGGAGTGCTTCGGGTCGACTGTCACATGCCAACCGACAGGCTGGTTCTCATGGCCGTCATCGCGGTCTTCGTAAAGACTGCGGTCGAGGTTGGCAGGTCACCGATTGTCAAGGCACGCTTGAAGGAACAAGATCGCATGGGACAGATTCGAGTACTCGGAGTGCCAGATGTAGTTCTCGTTTGCCCCCGTCGCACACTGGCAGCAAGACCTGTAGTGCACACCCTGCCAATCTTCGACGTTTTCCGGGTTGATCGCAAGCAAGTAGTACAGCATCCCGCAAAAGGTGCAATCGAGGGACTTCTCGTGGATTGTCAAGGTTTTGTCGTGAGTCCCTCGCATGCTGTTTATGAACATCTTCTAGATTCACCGTCGCCGGGATGCTGAACCATCGTGGTGGACATGGAAATCTCCCATGGCCCTCACATTTCCGGCCACATCACAAGCGCCGGCGCAAAAAATAGTTCGGGGGCTCGACGACCCACAAGGCTGAAAACTCGGCATGCTCGAACGCAATGCGCATTTCGGTCGCAAACATCGACGAGACGCAATCTGGCCCGTTCTCGTAGGAAGTCGGTAGTAGGCACAAAGCTCCGATAAGACGGTCATCATGGTTGGAACTCTTCATCTCTGATGACTATCTCATCTTAACTCGGCTCTTTAGGGTTGAAGTGAGGCCTCTACTTAACCTCCGGCTGTTCCTACTACAGCTAGATTGCCCCAAGTAAAAGTCTACCCATGCGAATGGTGTTGACAAACTTGCGTGTGCAAGCTTGACTGCCTCCGTGTCAGCTAGTGATGCTTGCAGTCCCTGCATCCGTGTTATTTGCGGTCCAAGCCTGACGGTGTAGTCATGTCCTGCTTGTGTGTTGCTGTGCTGCCGAAGGTTGCACACCATGACTACGATGGACGTCATTGCATGTGCACGGCCGTAGATGAATTGGAAAATCTTGCGCCCGCCCGCCCGCCCTCCCTCACATCCGGTGGCAAACACTGCAGTGAGCAGGATGCTGCTTCATGTTTGGGGGGGCGTGCTTCACGTGTTTGAAGCCTGCGGCTACTAATTTGCAGCACATGTTGTGCTGAGTTGCATTTGCGTGTTGCAGTGTTGCGTCAAGGCCCGCTAAAAAACGGGTAAGCCGAGCCTCCCGTGAATCCCAAAAGATGACCCAAGGATGCTCTTTTCTCAGACAGGAGTAGACCATTGACGTCATCATGGTTGGGCCACGCATGCTCTCTTCTCAGAGTGGATAAGACCATGGACGCCATGGACGTCATCATGGTTGGGTCATGCAAGCTCTCTTCTCAGGACGGATCAGATCATGCACGTCATCATGGTTGCGCTATGGATGTTCATTTCGAGAACGGCTTAGACCATGGATGTCATCATGTTTGGGGCTCTCTTGTCAGAGCGGATTAGACCCTGGACGCCATGGACATTGGTTGACTGTGAATTCCATGGATGCTCGACGTCATCATGGTGGGGCATGGATGCTCTTTCTTCAGAAAGGACGAGCCATGGACGTCATGGACGTTGGGCCATGCATGCTCCCTCAGATCGGCTTAGATTATGGACGTTATCGTGGTTGGGCCATGGGTGCTCTCTACTCAGTACGGATTAGACCATGGACGCAATGGACGTCCATAACGGTTTGGCCATAGATGCTCTCTGCTCAGAAGGATTACAGATTAGACCATGAACGTCGTCATGGTTGGGGCATGGATGCTCTCTTCTCAGAACGAAAAACGCCGAGCAAATCAGGCAAGACCGAAGATGTCAAAAAGCAAGGCGTCCGAAACAGGAAAAGCATCGGCAAAACCGACCGACTGCGACCGTTCCAGAATCAAACGCGAACATGAACGCCCAAGACTCGTGTTTTGGACACGACAGACACGACACAAGCCAAAACAAGCAAGCAAAATCAAGGTAAATACCTGAAAAACAGAAGGCATCAAAATCTCGAGGAAAACGCGCATTGTGTAGTATAAAGGAAAAGAATGCAAAGCGAAAAAGAATGGCGGGGCGGCTGGTAGCTTGTAAGCCGAAGGCTGAAACCCATGAGCCTTGAAGCGCTTCTGAAGCCCTGAAGAAAAAAGCCCCGGAACCTTCAGTCCTCAAGCCTCAAGCCCCCGGCCGGGTCATTCTTAGAGTGCTTCAACAGTACGCCCACCAAGCCCTACAACGCCGGCAATCCAGCTTGGCGTACAGCGCAGAATCAGAACCGTGCAGGCGGGCAGCTCCATCAGACGCATCATTTGACCCAGGGTCTGCACTTCGGCTGCAGTCGTAGGGGCTGGCGACGTGCGTTCTGCTTCGTGATCGCTATCTTCCTTCCTGGAACACTGCATGAGGCGAACTTCGTATCTGACGGTCTACACGGCACATTCACACTGCACCCTCTTATGGGCAGCGCGCACTGGTGCGGCTCGAGCCTCTCGTCGGCTTTCGGCGATTGTTTCTGTCTTGGTTTCTCATCTTCTTCTGCGTCACCATTGTCAGATGCTTCATCCTCTGAGTCCATCCACGCAAACTCTTTCTGTCCTTGGAATCATAGCTACTTCCGGCACACAAGTTACAGTAACAACCGAGGCGGTCCCGAACAAAGAGTTTCACCAAGCCACTTCGCTTCTTCTCTACTTTTGCTTCAGCTGTCGGCCTCTCCTCGCTGTGGCTCTTGCTGCGGCTTCGGCTGTAGCGCTTGCGTCTGAAGCTTCCAAAGGCATCATCCTCTGGCTCCGGAGAAGCACAGCGCAAGGACGCTTTCACCTGCAGGCTTACGGGAGCATCAACTGTCTTACACTTGCCATCCACGTCGAGATATGATGCCACTGGCCTTCCCAGCTCCAACAGGCTTTGCCATTGTCGAGAGGTGGCGAGCGGCAGCATTAGAGCATTGTACTAAATGCACTGTAGGCTGATTTTGACGAGTTCGCCTCAGCCTGAGACCCTGAAACCACCACGGCAAACTGCACGTGCCCCACAACCCTTCCATGCCTCATGCATGCTTCGACATTTCTCAGCCTAAAATCCTGCAAGTGGCACCCAGTGCTGCTGGTCAGAGTTTTCACTCCCACATCAACGAGTCTGTCGAGGGTCTTTTTCGCTCTCGCTCGCGCCTCTGCCCTTCGCCGCATCAAGTCTCTGAATCTCCCAGTGGTTAGCTTGCACTCGACTCGGAGGCGCCCCGGGTCACAAGAGGGCAACCACAAAACGGAACGGTCCTAACTGCAAGCAGGTGCGGAGCGAACGGAAACGACTAACTTCTCTGCCAAAAACAGACCTAAGCATCTAATCGAGACTTGGGTTGGTTGGTATTTGCAGGCAAAGGTAGCTCACTTTCAAACTTGTCTGGCCGAGCAAAGCTTCTCAAGATTTCTTGTACACAAGTTCATCGGGATAATGGTTCTCTGTAAGGAAGGAGCCACTCCCACCACGGATGAACTTGTCTAGGAAGGCTAGGCCGTAGCCGTTGATGATCTCGTGCTGCTTTGAAATTTCAAGGGGCATATACATCGAGCCAGGGCTGGACAGACTCTTGCTCTCGCCGATGCCGTTGCCGTATGCCGGGTTGTACAGGTCGCCTGGCAGGTGCGTCTTGCTGCAGCCGTGCATCGCCCCTCTAGCAGTAGTTCGAGATGCCTTAAGCAGCCTCTAGCAAGAGATCCTGCCGAAAAGCCGAGCTGCAGCTGGTGAAGCTACAATGACCTCCGCGCTTGATCTCCATCAGAAAACTGCAACCCTCGGGCTTCTTGACAAAGTCTCGGCAGAGCGCCTGTTCTACTGTCGAACCCGTCGCTTCGAAGCTCATGCGTACAACTTAACCCGCCTTACTACTTACACTCTGTGGTCTGCATCAACCCAACATTCGCTTAGGTCTGTTGTGCCCAGCTGCCTAGCACAGGCCCTTGGCGCTGCAAGTATTGGTCCATGCAGTAAGAAGGGCGCCTACTGATCGCTGGTGCGCCTACAGCGAAATAAAAAATCGGCTCCTCTCTTGCCAAGGAGCGTTGCCCTCAGTTCCAATCACTGTGTCCTCGGTGCCGATCATGACCATCAGTGGAGTATGTAAGTTTGTACGTTCTTTGGTGAGGCGTCCCTCTGCCGACATCAGCGACGGGCACATGAGAAGAGCAGCTTTCACGCGAGGATCATTGAACTCCAAAGCGGCAGCTGCTGTCCAACCACCGAAAGACATCCCCGTCAAGGCACAACGATTCACATCCACTCGACCCGCAAAGCGGCTGTCCTGGCCATCTGTAAGCTTCGCCAATGAATCTAGCAAGAAGAGCACGTCCAAGGGCCGGTCTGCTTCCATCTGAGACCTCTCACTCCGCGGACCACCCGGCTTGATCACGCGTCCATTCACTTGAGTGTATCGCGCACTGCCCGGATGGTCGCAGGCTGCAACTATGAATCCCTGTGAGGCTAGGAACTCGGTCCAGAAGATGTAGCTAGCCCTATATGCACCTGAACCGTGTGAAAATATCACGAGAGGCCATCCATCTTTCAATGGTTTGCCGCCGATTTCCTGCGCTGGGTCACGCAGCCGCGCATCCCGAACAGCTAGATTCGGCCAACTGTCATCCAGTTCTGCAATCGTCAATCCAGACCGGTACCCTCCGATGGCATCCGAGGCCTCTGCTGCCTCGATGCTACCTGGTATTGTCCCACGACCGAGAAACTCGGAGAATCGGTTTCGCGGCAACTCCCGGGCTTCCTCACCAGCTGGATACCAGATCTCGGTCTGCAAACTGCGAGGGCCTCCCTCCGGATCCTGCCGACTGTGGTCATCTAGCTGTAAGCTTGTCACCCCAACTGGATAGGGACCCGGCGGCAGCCCTGTGAAGGACATGCTTCTAGAAGTCGCTGCAAATGTCGCAAGGTTGTCAACGCGCGAGGGTGCAAATCTCCAGCACACAGCTGTACAGATGGTGGCCTTAAGAGCCTTTCTCCAGCGCAGCATTGAAAAGCCGCGCACCCGCTACGAAAAACGCCTGAGCCAGAAATCGCAAGGCGCAGCGAGTAAGCTCTTGAAAACTCCGGTCGCCTGTGAAGAGCTGGAAACCAGTCCTGAAAGGAGGACACGAAGGCATCCGCCACAGAGCCTTCTGCATGCAGGAACTTTTGTGTGTGCCGCAAGGTTCCTGCACATCGTTTCCTGCGTTGCTCTGGTGCTCTAGCAGGGGCATTGCAGTCACGGAGCAATCAAACAGCTCGTCGAACATCAGGATGCCAAACCTCAGCGGCATCTTCACTGCACAGCTTACCGTCTTCCACTGACTTGCTGAGGTACAGGCAAGTCTCTCAGTATGGACCCCTCGCAGTGGATTCCACACTGAAATGCACCTCCTTCGGAGGAGAAGTAGTGCTGCATCGCGAGCTGCTCGACCGTAAGCTCTTCCAAATGAAATCCTTACTTGTCAGAAACACCACCATGCAGCGAAGGCTTTACCACGTCAAGTGAATGAGTCCCTTTGACATGCGCCAGCCCGCCATCAAACATCCGCCGCTGGCCGGTGCCCTTCCCATTCGCAGGAGGCGCGACTTGGGGCAGCCCAATTCTTGCAGCACAGAGGATCTGCACGTGTCCTCCGACAAGTGCAAAAATACACCAGCATCTCCAGGTACGATCTTGCATGTCGTGCCGGCGTATCCTGTTGCAGCATTTTCTTCCGCAATCAGCCGCGAGACGAGCTTCGGCAACCACTTGCCACAATCATCTCCACCTTCCTCGGAGGTGGCAGAGCATGGCACCAACAAAAAAGTCAACTTTGGGAAACCTCCGAAGCTGAAAAACCGTGTTCATTCAGCATTAAGGCGGGGAACTGGCCAGAGCGTTTCTGAATGCCAGTCTACAGACTTTAGTCGCGCTGTCCGGCATCTGTATACTGGAAAGCTGTGGACAGCGTGTGGCTTCAAACTGGCTTCAAAAACAAGCAAAAAAGCATGCGAGAGTGTGACCCTGTGTGCCTGCGTGCATGCACGGGTACGCGGCGCGCGTGAACGTGCGCGGGCACACGCGCTTGCCGCATGCGCACGGCAAGTGCGCAGGGGCAGAGTGCGCGTGTGCGTGGAAGGCTGTGTGCGTGTGCGGGTGTGAGCGCGAGTGCACGTGCGCGTGCGTGTACGCGTGCACATGCTCGTGCGCGTGCCATCTCGTTCTATGTTCAAGGATCAGGTCTGCACCCCTGCCATGGTAAAGGTAACGCACCTCCAAACTAGTATTGCATTGTCACGGTCTAATGCTGTAAAGTGCTATAGTGCTGAAAACTGTTTCTTGATTGCCGTAGTCTCCTGCCTCTCCTGGCACGATGGTGCGACCGGCCCGTGGAGCGGCTTTAAACATGGCGGTTGACTCCGTACTCATTTGTGCCACTGATTTGCCTGCTCGTGTTGGCAAGGCATAAGGAGCTAAGGGACGTGCAGCGCATGTTTCCCTATTGAACTTGTTCGTGTAGAACAACCAGTTTTGCCTAGGTCCCCCTACTCTGGCCTTGCCAATCTGGAACACTGCACCGAATCTGGCAGGTAACTTGCTTGACGTAAAGGGTCTTGTTGGGGCGTATGCACAATGTGTCCAGCCGGCTTCCGCGCGCTTTTCCGTCGAAAGTTATGAAGAAGTTTTACCGTTTTTTGTCCACCTATTTACGCACTCGCTGTCTCCGTGCCTCTTGCATTCGTATTCGCTCTGTTTGCCTGAGTGGCAGCTGGGATGTGTAACTAGTTTCTGCATGGCCTGCGTCAGATGTACAGTTTCAAGCCCATACAGCAGCTAGTTCTTGATGATAGCAGATAACATCATACACATGTAATTTCTGGTACGTAGGGCAGTTGACGGATGTCCAAAAAGCGTTCAGCTTGAATATAACTTGAGAGTTTGATGCACTTTATGGTGATTTCATGCTTGATGTCCACAGCCTGCGTAATTTGATGTCCTAAATAAATTTGCCTCATTGGCCCAGTCGCGTGTCATCTTCGAATGTAATGAAACTGCTACCGATCATTGCAGTGTAAGAGCTTTTGTCCCTGGTCAATCGTAGCCCAAATTGAGCCGATACCTTCTTTATTAAGTGCAACAACATACTGCATGTTTGCGTGCATGTCGTAATAACAAGTACGTCATCAGCAAAACACACTGTGTCAGTTAAAGTCCAATCCTTCGAACCGAGCATTTCGCGTTCTAGCTAGCAGTGTTTTTCCTGCTAATGTCATTGTCTGTTTACCGTCGTGACCAGACAAACCAATAAAGTCTTGGATGCGCCTTACTCGTCTTTTGCATAAAATCTTGGATTTTTGTAGCAATCTATGAGGACATCGAAAGGTGATGGTGTACGCCTCAGCGTTCCAAAGCTGTAACCATTCTGTCTGTAGAATCCTGTCATGTGTTTTGTCCCAACCACGTAATGTGATGATTAAGTCGGTCTCCCGCTGTTCCGCAATGTCTTGAAGACTTCGTGTAAAGAAAACTGCGTGAGAAGTGCTTGGAGAAGGTCTATTGACCGTATTGAGTTGCAGATAACGTGGGGTCAAGCACAATCTGCAGACGATTCCGGATCAAGTACATGTATTTTTTGTTAATGGAGTTGCAAAATGAAAGCAGTTTTTAAGCTTGAAGGTAGATAGGTTTCTTTTCGTGTACAATGGCACAACACGAGCCAAGCACGCATTTTCAAGAATCTGCTTCGCAGACCACCAAGAATGCATTATGTCTAGAATGTGGTGTTGTTTATTCATGCATCTAAACAATTCAATTATTTGACCGTCTGGTCCCGGCTGCTTGTTGTTCTTCATACTCTGTAAAGCTGCTTCAAACTCCTGATAAGTGAACGAATCTACGTTGAATGCGCCGTCTAAAGCTTGAAGCTTTTCTTTTTTCGACGGCTAATGTATTTGTGATATGCCAATGCTTTTCTTCCAAATATTTCGCAGCAATAGTCTCCGCCATGTCTTTCGGTACAACTAATTTCCCGTGCATGACTTTCATGTGCATGAGGTGTGAGATACTATCATTTTTTATTCCTGTAACTTACTTCCATTTCTCTTTCTGATCTGCGATGTATCTAACAACTGTTCAACATAGTGTCTTTTTTGTCTTTGTTGCATCGGTTCGTTTTCTTCAGTCAGCTCTCTGACGGTGTCGTTCCTACCTTGTTCATGTGCTTCTCGGCTTGCGGCAACCATGTGCGTCTGGGAAATGTACTTTTGCTTTTGCTGAGGTCTCATAAAAAGCGCCTCTTCACTCAAAGGTCCTACAGTGACCGAGGGCCAAGGGAGTCCCAAACCCGTGGTTCACTCGCAATGGACCAACAGATGGAGGTGAGGGTGGACTGAGTGCACGGACTCAGTCCAGACTGCCATACAAGTACAAGCCAATGCTCGCGATAGGGGTGGGAAAGCCCGTGCCCCCAGCGACTGACAATTGTAGGTCAACAAGCTGAGCTGGTTCAGTGCCAAAGAAGTCTCTCGGCATTGCGGCAATTGCTGTGCAGGCCGCTGCAAATGTACCACCACGTCTTGCCTTCTCAGATGAAAAACTGATGTCGCTCAAATGACAGATTCTGCAAGCATTCATTTTGCTTTTGACGGTAGTGATGTCTTGCCAAGGGGAAAAAAGGAGCCAGTCGACCAACATCTGGAATAAGATTGCCCTTGTACCCATGCCCAACCTCGCAGCAAAAAAAAAGCCTGATGGTACGCATTATGCTGCGTTTGCTGGTGGTTCTTGCTGGCAGTGTCCGATTGCAAGAACTTGTTGAAGACATGCACACACTCGGAATCACAGCGGCTGCATTGCAAGGCAAGAGGTGGAAGTCTGGAGATCCGCGCTGTGAGTGATTGCATGGTCATGCTAGATTTTCTTGTTTCTCCTGGGGCAAGCTTGTCAACAACAAGATGCTTGGCGCGCAGCTGCTCGTCAGCAATCGACTCTGCAACCTGTTTGCGCTCATACTCGCTTTGACCCTCCTAGCAGCAATCAAGGTCGCCTTGGAGGTCTGCGCAGAACCAGCCGCACGAAGGGTGCAGAGATGGACGACATGTTTGTGACTGCATATGCGCCGCAGGAAGTGACGATGCGCATAGGCCACTCTTGTTCCAGATGGAGATCCTGCATTCGGTTCCAAACGTACGAGTGTGTGGCTTCTGAGTAACTTCAATGGCCACGTCGGACATAACTCGCGTGGCACAGCCGTGGGTGCTCAAGCCACAGACTAGACCAACAACAATGGAATGTCGTAAGTGCATGCTTCTGAATCGGCTGGACTCTTGCTTGCGAACACATCATGGACACCGGACTTACGCCACAGCCATTGCATTGATTTCATTGCTGTACCACTTGAGTTTCGCACGCGTGTGAGGCGCTGGAGAGTCAACAAAGTCCTCGGCAAACGCTGGCAGATGTCTCCGGTCCGTGCTCACTAGTCTGTTCAGGTTGTTGCTGCTTTACCAAAACCATGGACTTTGCTAAAACGCAGCACACAGACTGTTCGCTGGAACAAACATGCCTTGCAACAGACCTTGCGTGATGTGCCTCGCAGCTTACCTGACCGTACCAGTCGTGAAGACGTGGAGCAGCATTGGCAAGTCTGTGTTACACCAAGTTGCTGTCCGCCACGGCTCGATGCGCACTTCCCAGAAGTCTTGCAAAATACTCCCTGGGACGTGTGATCTCAGGTCAGCTTGCTTGACCACGTTGAAAGCTTCATTGAAAGTTGAAGTGCCGACAATATCTGGCGGCCGATTGCCTGGCTTTCCCGTATGTTCAGGTTGTCGCTTAGACACTCCCGCCTTCGTGCTGTTGCCAGGTTTGCAGTCAAGTTAAGCGCGATGAGTAAGCATGGTTCTGCAAACTGGATTCAAAGCTTCAGCGGGCAGTGGTACTGCATGACTCACGTGAAGCTTGGGCTGTCAGTCGGCAACTAGCTGGACGGGGGCCGAGTAAAGTGTATGACCGTGTTGTCCCCGCCGCACTGCAGACTTGATCACCAGAATCCAGTGGAAGCAACATATACGTGATGTTTGGAACGGCAGTGAAAACACTCATGCTGTTGCGCGCCCCGATCAGAGTTGCTCCGAACATAATGCAGCCTGCAATTGCCGGTGAGCGTGGTCGTGAGGCATTGCTCAAGGCGGCGAAATGCCAGGCACGTGGACGTGCCACCCCTCAAGGCAGTCTTCCAGCTTATCTTTTGCAGCTCCTTTTACAAGCTCGACCCTTGTGTCTCCTCTATTCCGGAGATTTGCATGGGGATCTTTGAAAGCATGTAGCGTGTTGGTTACACTCCTCGTCCACTGCCCAAACCTGGTTGTGTGTGTGGTCCAAATTAGCAGCGCATCATCAATATGCTTGGTCCTGCACGCACGTTGTTTTTCAAAGTTTGGCTGCACTTTGCCTGCTGATCACCAGTATATCACCAGTATGGTCGTGCATCCACCCGCTCCCTTCGTGACGCCATCTTGCATGTCGAAGCTTGGCTCGATCACCTCAGGGCGAATGGTTTGAGTTCTGCTGCTACGCTCTTTGACCTCATCCAAGCCTTCGATACACTGGCTCTCAGCTGCATTGAATATCTTCTCCACAATGAGCCGACGCTGGCGTGAGTTCGCGGGCTGCTTCTTGATCTGCATCGCCGCTTGCGCATCAGGCTGAAGAAATATGATGGTGAGACCTTGCAAATGAGACTCGAATCAGGTGTGTTGCAGGGCGGCGGAACTGGCCCAGGTATCTTTTG